ATTTAATTATATATTTATATGAAAAATATAAGAATAAGAAGAATTTGTTCTATAAAAACTTATAATTTAATTTAAAAAACTTTAAATATATGTGTAAGAAAATTTTTTTTATAAAAGGACGAAGGTTGACTGGTCAACCCGCCAACTCACCCCTTGGCAGGGCAGGTTGGCAAAATGTGAGCCTGCCAAGAAGTGATTTTTTTTAAGACCTGCCCACATGGTCTCGAACCCCCGGCGGGTTGACCCATAACTGGCGAGCTAGCTCATTTTACCAACTCTAGATCTGAGACACTTTATCTAATATATTATTATATAATTGATTTGAATTTGAGTAGATGGCAATCTTATCCTTGAAATATTTTTATATTTTTAGATTAATTTTAATATTTAGAGCCTCATTAGAGTTAGGAATTTCATCTATTTTAAGAGTCAGTTATTCAGTTATTTTCAAATTATGAATTATGAATTATGAATGAGAATTTTCTTTGGCAAGTATTGACTTGTGTTTTCTGTATTCGGCATAGAATATAGTTAGGTTGCAAGAGTCTGTTCAACTCTTTTTTTTAGGTGGGACCAAGATATCCCTAAGTCATTGGATTTGAGACTAATTTTTTTCATGCTAATAGTAGTTAAAGAATAGCTCTCTCAACAAATGTACTTCATGGAATTTGTGGAGTCTTTTTTTAGCTAAGGATCTAGAGACAAGTTTTTCTAGGATTTTAGTCAATCAATTTTTATTATTTTCAAATATATTTTATTTTGTATTTTTTGAGTTCCTAGAGAAATCTGTATCAATTTTTAAAAAAAATCCAAAAGTCTGACTCTCCCAGAAAAAATTTTAATTTGGAAGGAGTTAAAATGAGAGTAGGAAGGGAAAGAGAGGGAAGATTTCAGCTCTTTTCTCTGATATTTCTAACCAAATAAGGAGAGAAGCTCATTTTTCTCCCCTCTAACCAAAAAAGCCCCAACTAAGTTCCTTAATAAAGTAGATAGGAAATCTCTTCTCCCTTTTCCTCTAATAAAAAAGACCCTATAACCTCTCCTCCCCTCCCCTCCTTCAAGTAACCTGCCATGTCACCCCAAAAAAAAAAAACCAAACAAATCCAGTAAAGATAGATCATGCACAGTCCAACCCTTATATACATCAACTTCCAAAGCTTTGCATGTTTACAACTTAGTAAAAATACAATTCTATATTTATTTGAACTATGATAGCCATCAGTCTATTCTAAAAAAGATTTTTTGTATATTGTTTGTATTTATCTTTTCTATTTTTATCATTATTTTTGTTGTTTATTATAAAAATCATTAAATAATTATTGATATTTCTTTGTTTTGTGTTCAAATCAGCAAGCTTACTTAAATTTGAAACTAAGTAAATATCAATATAGATTTAGTAATTTAAATAAAGGGTTAATATAATTTTTGGTTCATCAAATTTGTTCTCATTTTGTTTTTAGCCCTCAAATTTAAAATCATGGGTTTTGGTCCCTCAAGAGGCAAAATGATCTAAATTTTTATTAGATTATAGAGGCCTATGTTTTAAATAAAAGAAACTTGAGAGACCAAACCTATCATTTGAAATTTAAGAGACTAAAAACAAAATTATAGACAATTTGAAGAACTAAAATTTATATTAACCTTTAAATAAATTATCATATTTTTGTTTAACTTTCTTGACATGTGTGTGTTCAGATTAGGTGTGGCTGTGGGTTCACCAACTTTTCTTACATGGGCTTGCACCATGGCACAGAGGAGAGCAGAGATACACTGAATGGAAATTGCAAATCGTTGGAGGGGGAGGTTATCCGGAGTTGAGAAATAACATGAAACTGATGTCCAGGGATCACTCATGCTTCCATGAATCACTCCCTCAACCCATGTCCAGGGAGGAAAAAAAACAAAAAAGTCCCCCAAGGCATTTGAATTAAATGGTATATTACAGCTAATGCGCATGAATTTACATGCAATAGGTAATTACCCAAAGTCTTCCATATTGGCATTTTAGAATGCTTATGGGTTTGAGCTTGACCCACTTAGATCATGCATCATCCAGCACTTCTATAATCATGTGATGCGAATAAAAATTTGAGAGAATTAGAATAAAGGACCTAGAATAAATATGATAGGGAGAATCAGAAATAAAGACCCTCTAATATGCAAAATAACAGATAGGTCACCTGAATAAGTGAAATTACTCACAAGGACCCAGTCTCAAATTGTAATTATGAAATCATGGCCAAATTACCAAAATACCCCTCTTTAATTTTTTTTTTAAAAAAAGAAAGCCACTGCCTCACCAGAATCCGGCCACCGGCGCCGGAGCTCCGGTGGCCGCTTTCGGCCACTGCCGGCGGCCGGACGCCGGGGTCCGACCGCTGGAGCTCTGGCGGCCTTCTTTTGTTTTTTTCTTTTGCAACTATTTTTTTTAAATAGTGGGGGAAGTGAGATTGGGGGGATTTGATCCCCCAACCTAATGCTTCCCAAAATAAGGAATGACCATTGAGCCAACAAATTTTTGTTAACATTATGATGCAAAAAAAAATATAAGTTAACTCATTTACTCTTGTTCTAGGTGATAACAACAATACATATGGAAATAACAAGTTCTGATTGTAAAATAACAAGTTTGGAATTAAAATTTAACAGCACCTTTTTTTTATAACAATTAATTATTTTATACTTTTAAAAAATAAATTATTTATAACTTATAAAAATATTTTTAATATATTTATTTCTCTAAAAAATACTTTTTAATCTGTATATCTATACAACTCATTATAAATCAAACTACTTCTTATAAATTATAAAGTATTTATAATTAGGCATTTTTAATCTATTAATCATAGAATAAATTTGATATTATTTCATTCTTTAAATATTAAAAATAGTTTTTATATTTAAAGAATAAAATAGTATTTTTAATTATAAATTACAGATAAATTTCATTTATAAATTTAAGCAGTCAAAAAGTATTTTTAATCCACAATAAATTGTACTATTTATAATTTATAAGAAGTAGTTTGATTTATAATAAGTTGTATAGATATATAGATTAAAAAAATTTTAAAAAAAATTAAAAAAGTGTGTTGCCATTTTCCCTAAATTTTATTTATAAATTTGAACAATAAAAAAGTATTTTTAATCTATAAAAAATTATACTTCAAGTTCTGATTATAAATTGGAGATAAAAATTATTTTTTTAGCAAATTAAATAGATTACAAGTACTTTTTATAAGTTATAAATAATTTATTTTCCAAAAATATAAAATAATTAATTGTTATAAAAAAAAGGTGCTGTTAAATTTTAATTCCAGACTTGTTATTTTACAATCAGAATTTGTTATTTCCAAATGTATTGTTGTTATCACCTGAAACAAAGTGTGTTGTTATAAAAAAAATGTGTGGTTAAATTTTAATCCCAAACTTGTTATCTTATAATCACAACTTGTTATTTTTAAATGTATTTTTATTATCACTTGAAACAAAATGTATTGTTATAAAAAAAAACATGTTGTTAAATTTTAATCCCAAACTTGTTATTTTATAATCAGAACTTGTTATTTTTAAATGTATTGTTATTACCTACAACAAAATTTATTGTTATAAAAAAACATATTGTTAAATTTTTATTCAAGACGTGTTATTTTACAATCAGAATTTGTTATTTACAAATGTATTGTTGTTATTACTTGGAACAAGAGTAAATGAATTAACTTATTTGTTTTTTGCATCATGATGTTAACAAAAATTTGTTGGCTCAATGGTCATTCCTTATTTTGGGAAGCATTAGGTTGGGGGATCAAATCCCCCCAACCTCACTTCCTCCACTATTTTTAAAAAAAAAAACAGTTGCAAAAAAAAAAAAACAAAAGAAGGCCGCCAGAAGCGGCCGCCGACGCCGAAGCTCCTGCGGCCGGACCCCGGCGTCCGGCTGCCGGCAGTGGCCGGAAGCGGCCGCCGGAGCTCCAGTGCTGGTGGCCGGATTCCGGTGAGGCAGTGGCTTTCTTTTTTAAAAAAAAAAATTAAAGAGGGGTATTTTGGTAATTTGGCCATGATTTCATAATTACAATTTGAGACCGGGTCCTTGTGAGTAATTTCACTTATTCAGGTGACCTATCTGTTATTTTGCATATTGGAGGGTCTTTATTTGTGATTTCCCCAATATGATATTTATTTGAAAGGATCGTAAAAATTCTTGTTATTTAAAAGGACCAAATGTTAAAATATAATTTTAAAAATACTGAATTACCCTTATCCAACCACCTGCATTTTCTCCAACGTCCAAATCTCACTGTAAGATTATTGAGGAACGTTACTGGCTCCGTTTAACATTGGGCTTCACAGATCTGTACCACCATCCCATCCCATGCTCTGTTGTCTATGAGTTGAGGATCTAGTTAAGGAGGGTCATAAGAACAAATTTGTTTCCAGAAGGTGATGGGGTTCGGAGGGGTGATGGCTCGACTTCGGCCATGGAAGCCACCATTGACGTTGACTCAGCAGCGAAGGCTACGTCTTTGGCAACTGTGACTTTATCTCTCTTTTGCAGTTTTTGGATCTCTCTCGCACTCACACAACATCAACCACTTCTTAGAATTTGTTGAATAGTGTTTGATATTTCTGTTCTGCATTTTTGTTGATTCTTGTTATGTGATTCTACATTTTTAATGTTGTTTTTGAATCTTTGAGAGCATTAACGATGAATGACCGTGCCGTGGGGTGAGTGCTGGTGAACGGAAGAAAGAAACCGGAAGTGATGTGGGAGATGATAAGGGCATCTAGCTTTTTTTTTTTTTTTAAATAAATTTAGGTGTTTGGTCCTTTTAAATAATTACATTTTTTATGATCCTTCATAATAAATTTTATTTTCTCTTGGTCCTGTGTTCTAATTCTCCCCAAAAACTTCGAAAATTGATTTTCCTCGATAAATCTGAGGAGATAAATCCGCAGAGATACAAGGGAAATTACTGGTGGCACACATCGTACGATTGAAATGATTGAATTATTGATTACAACAGATACAAGCAACTTTTAGTCGAAACTCATATAACCTCTGCTGCAGTTCCACCAGTACTCTATCTGTTAATTGGCTTTTGATTTACGAAGAAGCTGAAAGTTTAGATGCCTTCTCTATGCCCTTTGATTTGTAAGGAGCAATCCTATGATGAAGAGAACCCAATAAATCATTCTCAATGCACCCATACATTTCCTGGCACAGATGATCAACAATGGCTGAGAAGTTAAGAACTTGATTCCTTATATTCATTACTTTCTCATCTTCAAACCGATCAAAGGGTTCCTCCAGAAACTTTGAGAGCTTCTCAACATTGGCCTCCAGCTGCTGCTGCTGATCCTCAAACAAGTTCTGCTTTCTTTCCCTTTCCTCTTCTGACATCTTTTCCATGAACATCTCACCTCCAAACATATAATATGCAAATGGGTACGAATAAGATAGCACTCGCCTCGATCTGAAAAGTCTTGAGAGTCCATTACCCACCCAGCTATAATCTCTCAGTGTTGAATCATTGATCTTCTCCTCCGAAAGATCAACCTTCTCCTGCATAGTCTCTTTCAACTTACTTTCAAGCTTTAATGAGTCTGTGTGAGCTTTGTATCGATTATGATAATGCATGTAACGATACAGATTTTGCTTGGCAAGTTCTGCTAGTTTCTCTTGTGGCTTGTAGCGACCACAACTATGGCCGCTTATAGATGACCAAGTATGATCTCGTCCAGTGGCTCCGCCACAGATCCAGCAAAATGCTTGACCACAAATACAACAAACCAAATTGCAGCCACCGTTCTTCTCCACTGGTTTGCTGCATTTAGGACAAGGTTTTGTGTGAGCTGTGATCCAGTTTACATTTTCTGATTCATCTCTACATTTGATCGACCATCGCTCCCACATCAAACAAGAACAAGGCGAATGTGCCTCTGATAAGCAGTTAAAACAGAACTGGACACCACAAGAACATTCCAATTCACATAGTTCATCTTCCTCTGCACGAATTGCATTCCCACAATGAGGAACGCTAGGACACCATTTAACTCTTTTGTTATCTTCAATGTAAGATTCAAGAAGAAACCGATCGAATTTCTCTGCCGTTTCCGGATGCTCTTTACCCACCAGATCTCTGACAATATATTCATCACAAATAGCGTTACATTTGTCCGCCATGCAAGTTATGCTCTTGCTTTGGCCGTCATTTATTTTAACGATAAAGTGGCTTGTCCAGCAATCGTTGCAGAAACAGTGACCACAGTCCATTCTTGTTACATCATTTCTGGGAACATTTTCCATGCAGATTTCACAAAAGATTAAAGAAGGAACTGATGATGATGATGATGGATCAGAATCAGAACCAGAACCCGAAGGTTCGTACACAGTAACACCGGCTTCAGCAAACAAGGCAGATTTTCCCTTTTCAACATATACCGCAAAAAGCTTATCCACATCCCAACGATGATGAATAAGAAGAGTACGAACGTGGTGTTCCCTCAGCGAAAGCATTTCCATTACTCGGCGCAGATCTTCTTTCTGAGCAGCGACAAGTGATTCTCTTGTGATCACCATGGTTTTGGGACCCTCGGCCATAATATCGGCATCGTCGTCGTCGTCTTCGAGGCCTTCGTCCATGGAACCCTCATCGGAGTAATTATAATCGTCATCATCACTGCACCAATAATCGCCCATGACCTCCGAACAAGCTCGATAACACTGTAAGAGGTGAAATTAATGGATGTTTAGATATAGATGCGTTGGAATCGGAACCTATAATGATCAGCAAAAGAGGTTGATGGGATTCGATTCAATGATGAAGGTGACGGCGAAATTGAAGAAATTAAAGCTAAAGGGTTTTATTCTTGGCCAACAGGAAAATTTCAAGAAATAAGTTTTTTTTTTTGGGTCTGAAAAAGAAACAAATTTGATGTTGGGAAATTTTAAAAGTGCGTACAAATAATTTAATTTAATTTGAATTCTGAGGACCAAAAAAACATTTGATGCGGATATATTTTTAATATTTAATAAAATAAATTTAATTTAACCTAATGAGTTCAGTTCAATTTTTATGTGTATGCTGCGTGAACGCACGGAAAAATGGGTCTTAATTATATTTAAGAAACAAAAACAGATATATATTTTTTATCTGAATTTTTGTTTCAGATTCATACATTGAATTAACTAAATAAAGGAAATTTTGCATCTGCCGTGGGACTAGGGATATAGTTATGGGGTGTTGCGATATTGTCCTTTGAATGATTCCCAATCATATCAATTAAAATATTCAATTAGAAAATCAATCACGTGATTTTATAATACTATAAACAAATTAAATAGAGATAGACATATTTAATTTAAACCTTTTGAATTGAGAATTTATCATTAACTATTTTAAACTAATTTTAAATTTCATCACACACACACTTGTATATATCAAAATAAAAATAAAAATATATTATCTACCCTTTAAAATATTTTGATATAGCGCTTACCCCGGGTTTTATCCAAAAAAGAAAGAATTATTTTAATATAATTTTTATGTTTTAAATTATTTTTTAGTTATTAAAATTGGGATCAAAATGATTTTCAATTATTAATTAATCTCTCGCTATATCCTAAAATTTCTTATCCATTTCAATACTCAGATTGCTAAGCCACTATCTTTTAAGCTTGCTACATTTATAAATAGATAGAAAATGCTCCTTTTAGTTCTAAATATTTTATAATGTAAATTATTAGGTCTTATATTTAAGATTGGAGGAGTATAAGAGATCTGGATCTGATTTTGAACATTTAAATTATTTTAAGATTTCAAGTTTTGAAATTTTAAAGGTGGATAATATATTTTAACAACTAATTTAATTTAGCTTGAACTGAATTGTTAAAATAATTAAAAATATATTACTGTATGTATAAAAAATGAAGACTAAAACATACAAGATTTCCCTAGACTTAGGTCAGTTACAGGTAACCTTCCCAATATTTAAAAATTTAAATTAAAAATCTTGATGTTTTATGTTTTGGTTATCAACTCCTATGTTCTTAAAATTATCGTTAAAGTTAATGATTTTTAATATGCCATAATTTTTTTATTTTTCTCATATTTCATATCATTTTAAAAAATAATATTTGGCTTTTGTTATTCAATTTTAAGTATTTTATACTTTTTAATTTAAAAAAGACGTGGTTTTTAAGCAACATATTTTTTTAAGTGTTTTATTTTAAGAAAATACTAAATATTATTTTCTAAAATGATATAATATATAAAAAAATATAAAAATTATGACATGACAAAAATCATTAATTTTAATGGTAATTTTAACGGTAGGGGAGTTAATAATCAAAACATAAAACATGATGGTCCTTAATTTAAACTTTTAGAGAATTAGAAATATGATGTGCAACTACCTCAAAATTCAGAGGAGTTATCTATATTTTAGTAAAAAATGAAATTATAAACTTCAATTAGGCTTCAATTTTATTTATCATAAATCATGGACCCGAAAACAAGGTAATTAGATTAGTTGGATTAGAAAAATAGATTCATTTTTATATCTTGATGAGTTGAGAATGAGTGGCTTTACTTGGATTAAAGCTTTGGATATCAGACAATATTAGCTTGGCTCGATTCAGCTAACAACCCCTGAGTGGTATCAAAGCCAGCACTATTATGACAGAAGTGAGATATTATTAGTAAAGGTGAGTAAGAAGAAATCACCTCATCATGAGTGAAACCTCAAACAGCCTTGAACCCGTTCGCCTTTCTTTTTCCTTTACCTCTTAAAGACTTCATTCCTCTATCTGTAGAACTCTTTTAAGGCAAATAGAAAATTTTGTTGAGATAGATTGTAACATCTTGAATTTTGAGCCTAGAAGTGCTAGAATTAGCCTAAAGTAGGTAAGCTACCAGACCCCTCTTGATAGAAGTCCTAGAGGTTCCCTGGAGGAATAGAGGGATTCCCAGGAACTAAACCATAAATGAAAAGTTTGCTGGGACTGAGGGAATAGAAAATTAGAGACTCGAATGAAGTCTTGAGGCCTAAGAATGAGAAATTGATATGAGTGTAGGCCAAAGGCTTTGTTGGAGGCCTCAATGAGAAGCATTATGGGGTTAAGCCGAACTAGGAGCAAAATCGTAATTTTGTAAAGTTACGGATGGTAAGGGAAAAAATAGAAATTATGCCCAAAAATTCCAAAAAAATCCCAAAAAGTAAGAAATAGGCATATTAAGGCCTGTATATAAAGAAAAATAACAAAAATGCCCTTGGGTTGACTTTAAATGAATTTTTAAGATTATAGCTCATTTTGAGGTATAAAGATAGATTTAATTATTTGAGCCATGAGAAGGCCTCAGAAATGTAAGTAAAAATGGGGATTCATGAGTTAAGAGACTATAGAAAATTATAAAACTAGTCTCATCCCTAGAAGGCTAGCAAAACGGCTTTAAGAATATTTAAAAGCCAATTATGCAGAAAAAGGGTATTTTAAAGAATGATTTTAAAGCGGGGATACAGGTTGAGTTATGGCCTGAGAAAATTCACAGATTTTTTCTCTCTCTAGAATTTGAGGAATTTTATGATATTTTTAGATGAATTTTTGGAGCTTTGGATTGAATAAAATGCTGCATTCAAATATTAAATAATTTTTGGCACCTAATTAGGAGACAAAACCAAAGAAAATATCTAAAAGCCATAATGAGGGCGCTGAGTCAGCGTGCTGAGTTGCCAAGTGCAATTATGATACCTCTAAGTCAGCATGCTGAGTCATTAGGGATATTTATGGAAAGAATAAAAATCAGAACGCAATATGGGTACATTTTAGATAGTCCTTTGTGTAGTCGTTATGGTGAAATCACTACTGCATGACTTAATGAGGCTAAGTAACTTGTTAGTGAAGCTAATTATTTTCTTCTATGCTCCTTTAAGATGGGGTCATATGTGTACTTAATTAAGATGAGAAAATAGTACCAGAACATATCCTAGTGGTACAGGATAAGTCAGGACCCTAAAAAGTACCCGATACTATGCAGAATAGCAATATATGTGGAGGAATGCCTAAGGGCTGTATTTTGCATGAATTTTATATTAATTTTCTCTCTATTTTAATGCCAAAATGATGAGGGGACATGGAAGAGACAAGTGTACTGTTAGATGGAAGAGACACTTGTATGGTTGGATTAAAGACAGGGGGCTTGATCATGCAAGTATGATGTCATCAAGATGATGTAAGCATGATGTCATAGGACGTTTGTCACCATAAGATTAAAAGGGAAAATAGATGGTCAAGATTAAACCACATTTTTTTGAGATCAACGGCCAAGATTCAACCTTGTTTTCTATAAATACCTCCTCTCCCCCCATTTCGTCCAAGCCATGGAACCTGTGGGGAAACTCTTGCAAAATATATTCTATAGAGAGAAAGAAGAAGGAGAGAGAAAGGCTAAGTGATCCCATGCAAGATCAAGTTCTAAAACAAGGTATGTTTATGGTTTTTGATGTAGTTTTTCACTACCCTTATTCTTGTTGAGCTTGGTTATGGATTTTAATAGTTTTTGGGAGCTTGGAACCCTTAGGGGAGGTGCTGCACAAAATTCTTAAGAATAGGAGAAGATGAAATTAATATTAGAATAATATTTAAGGGCTTGAAAGGAACAAAAATCAAGTGGTTTATGTTGAAATTGGTTAAATTTCTTGATTAAGTAACTTTGGTAATATTTTCAGCCAGAGTTAGTTCTTGGGGCTAGGATTGGATTTTGATGATTTTGATGCTTTCAATATGTTTAAAATGAAAACTTGTATGGGGTCAAGGTGAGAAAACAAGTTTGGAGGTATTAGAATTGAAAATGGGATTTTGAGCCCCAAGATCCTCTGTTCGGCCAGACCAGTTGAGTAGGGAGAAGTTTGATTTTGATTATTTTGAGTTTGGAAATGAATTCTACATGCAAAATTGTACAGGAATAGCATGTGGAATTAATTTTAGAAAAGTTGGAAATCAAGCTCAAAAGTTAAAAGATAATATAATTCAAAGAAAACAAAGTATTGATCTTGTTGATTATCATGGCTCTAATGAATGAATGAAAATGATTTGTGATGCATTTAGGGCCATGAGACATCAAGAAAAAGGAATGGCAAAGGTTGAGCAAGCAATCTTAATGGTTGGAAGCATTAGGGATCAAGAAGAAAGCTTAAGGATACAAAATAGTGAACTTGCCTTTCTTGTGTGCTTGAGGTGTATACTTGTGTGTTGATGTGCATTATGTTGTTTGATGATGATATGAGATGCTAATATTATTATGATGCTCTGTTTTGTTGATGTTTTCTATAGCCATTGATGAACCTTATCGCTAGGTAATCAAAATTATACTAGGAAAATGCAATAGGTGAGGCAATACCTAAGTCATTCTTCTCAAGGAGCCTTAAGTTGGAATTCAATTCTTAACAATTCATATTAATTATCAAGTTACCAAGGTAAAAGATTGGGTTTCAGAATGGAGAAATTAAAGCAAGAAATAAATTCAAATGAAAGATAACAGTAAAGGTTCTAAAATGCAAAAGAGATTCAGATAAGAGATGGTAGTTCCCCTAGCAATTCATCCTTCCTTCCTTCTTCAATCTTATAATTTGGAATCTCTTAGAGTCAATTAAATAGATAGATTTAGCTACTACTCAAATCTCTCTAAACACAGGTCAATAACAACTATCTTACTAAATTCATTGTCTTGCTCTGTAGAGAAGGAAAATCAATTGACAGGAA